TCGCAATCCCATATTTTAGAATTTATCTCATGAAATAATTGAATGGCTAAAACTAAGATATCTGTAGAAGATTTGAGAACTGTGTAGGAGAAGAACCAGTGAGACATAGTGGTTGACAGGGTAAGGGAGGTGAAGGACAGGGGGACCTACAGAATCACTCTTGGAATTTCCATTAGGGCAATTGTGCTTGGCAAGGCCATTCCCGGATACAGACGCAGCAAGTGTTGGGCTAAGGCGATGGACTGGGTTCTGTGTGTTTGACGTTTCAGGAGTGTGCACTCAGAGGGAGAGGTCCAGGGGCAATTGGGTGTGTGGGTCTGGAGGTCAGAGGAAGGTAACGAATTTAGAGGCATTGGTGCAGGGACTGTGGTTGGAGCTATGAAGGTGGGTGACTGGTGGCCTTTTGGGTTTTGGCAGCTGTCCAGTACAGGGATCCAAACCCATGACATTGGTGTTAAAGGCTGCACTCTAACCACATGAGCTAGCCAGCCAGCGTGATTGGTGGCCTTTCGGATGCACCTGAGATAGGGAGTTGAGCTACTGGTTTGGGCGAGGAGGGAGGCAAGGCGCTTTTTTCTTGCCTTGCTTGTAGCATTGACACCTCTGACTGAATCCTGCTTGCTACACTTCAGGCCTGGGAACACTCCGTGGGCATCATCTGCTTCCCCAGTCTCCAAAGCCTGGCAGAAGATGTTTCCGACCAGCTTGCCCAGGAAATACAGAAGGCCCTTGCTGGGAAACCTGCAGGTAAAAGAAAAGAGCTACTGGAGGACACTTTACAGAGAGCAAAACAGCTTTGCAGACCCCTCCCAAGCTGCACTAAGCCCCCCTCTGCCTACCCGTGGAGTTAGAGTAGTGCTGGCCAAAGAGCACCATGGACCCGCTCTGCCACCAAGTGCCTTGGGGACAGAGGGAAAGTCAGAGTAGGCGGAAAGGGGGCTCAGGAAGCTCTGCTGCTCCTGGGCACAGTGACGGCCATACACACACAACACACTACACGCACCACTCACAGACCTACACAGACGCTATATACACAGTCACACAGAGACAGAGACATACACACAGACACTACTCACAGGGTTTACACACAGACACACACACTACATACACAGACACACACTGATACATACCATACACACAGACACATACAGACACGACACAAGGAGACACACACAGGCACACAGACACAGACACACATAGCGCACACACAGACAATAAACACAGACACACACACACATACAGAGGAGCAGCGTCACTGGCAGGAAGTTCTGGGATTGGAAGTGACCTGCACGTTTAGTGGAGAGCTTGGTCCTGAAAAGACACAGAGGCCAGAGCGTGCATCTCTTGCGGGGTCTCCTGACTTGCATTCTTCCACTCATATGAGCTGGACCTTGGAGGCTGGGCAGAATTTCATGGTGGCTGGGGGCTGGGGACAGGAGAAAATTCCAGGGGGACAGAATAGTTCAAGCATGGTGTAGATTGCAGGGATCCCTACAGTATAGAGGCTGTGTGGTGCAGGTGAAGATTCTGGATTGTGGGAGTGCAATCCTGAGGAGCTTGTTATTACTCATTTGACCATAGGGGGCCATTGGTGGCTGTTAAACAGGGATGGTGGCATGATGAAGGCTCTCATCCATGGAGGTTAATCCGGCAGAGTGTGAAATGCTTGGAATAGACACGGGTGGCCTTGGGGGAGTGTAGGCAGGAGGCCGAAGTCCTCCGTGGATGCTCAGCTACCTGTCATAGGGACAAGAGCCTCACATGGAGGAGAAACTGGGTGTGTGGGCAGCTGCACCACTCAGCTGGTCACTTTCTTCCAGAGCAAGCGAGGGTGGCAGCGGAGCAGCTGCTGCGGTGGAAGGGGGACACGGATCGGGATGGCTACTTGCTCCTGAAGACAGTGTTTGTGCTCACGGGGACAGACTCGGTGAGTCCCAGGCCATTGGCCTTTGCCCGGGCACACCTCATTCTCATGTAGGGAACGTCCTGCATGGGGTGGTGGCATGTCCCAAGAGTGTCTTTCTTTTCATGAAATGAATTGTCATTTCTCCTCCCCTACACCCCTTCTGATATAGAACGTGGACTTCAGAGTCTGAAATTCAGGTTTGAATCCTGCCTTTTCAGTTGACACGCTGTGTGTAACCATGGGAAAATTGTTTCACTTCTCTACCACTGGGTGGTGTGTCAGGCTGGGTCATGCACGGACCCTTCAAACCCATTGTGCAGACTGGGTCACAGACCCCTCACATGCAGGTCACAAGCTAGGTAATTGGAAGGATCCCGGGGGCCAGTGGCAAGGCTGACATGCTTTTTTTTCGGAAACGAGCTCAGCCCCCAGCCTTCTCAGCAGTGGTGGCCCCCTGGTGGCCTCTCGGGGCATCCTGGGGGCACTGTGGATCAGAGCCGTTTGTCCTTTATACTTAAGTCAGATAACCCAGGAACAGCTGGGTGCACATGCGCAGTTAACATAGTTACATCAGACAGCAGCCAAGGAACACCTGGGCACAGTTAACATATTTACATCAAACAGGCTAAGTCATGTTCGGCAAGATTCCTAACAGCTGAGGGAGGCTGACGTTCATCTTCATTTTCCTTATGGTGGTGTTACTAATTTTAGAATTGTGGAGGATAATAATGCCTCTCTTTTAGAGTTAGTGTGAGATCAATAGCAACTGACATTCATTGACTATTTCCTACATGCGGGGCAAGGCTGGGTGTGTCCCATGCACTGTGACGGTTAGTCCTCCCAAGGACCCTATGAGTGGGATGACGGCAGTGCCACCTTAGGGATGAGAAAACAGGATTACCTGTGCTGTGTAACTGCTGTCTGTCTGACTCCAGAACCCACTCTCTGAGCCACATTTCCTTATTACTTCCCATTAAACTAAGCTCGAACAAGCTGCACCTGTAGGCACCTGTCCTGTGCTTGCCCAGAGACGATGCTCCAATGAGGCCAGC